GACTCTGGGGGCGACCCAGGGGGGCGGTGTCCTGGTCGCATCGGGGCGCCAACGGATCTTGCATGCATCTACGCGCCGGCCCCAGACGATCAAGAAGGCAACACGTGGGAGTTATTCCAAGACGAGGCTACATAGAGAAGCAGCATCTCACTTCGAATCCATCGGCCAAGAAAGACATGGAAGACAGAGTAGTTAGGATGGTCACGTGGAAAGAGCTGGCCTGATTGGATGGAAGCATCGAGACTCTTCGAGATGCTTCACGCTCTTTCAGAAGTATCATCCCTGGAAAAGGGAATCCGCAACACATGGCCTTGTTCGAACAAGTGGTTCCAGAATGAGGCTTGACTTCATGTCGTCGGCAGCTATCGTGACTTCTAGAAGCATCCCGTAGAAACTCCGAACTTCTTCAACTTTCCACATCACACCACTTGACGACACTGCCAACAGTCATACAGGAGTCTATCGTATGTTCTCGAAACCCATCATACAAGTATATAACCACCTCAACCCTCCCTCGACCGTCTCCATCCCAACAACTCTACCAACTCTTCATGCACACTCTCCGCACCAACCTCCACCGCATCCCATCGCACCTCTACCAAATCTCCAAAACCACCCCAACCCGCACCATCCACAAAATGTCCCTCTTCCCCCGCTTCGACCGCGACTTCGCGCCCCTCTTCCGCATGCTCGACGACTTCGACACTCGCCACGCAACCCGCAGCTTCCCCGCCGCCCGCTCCTTCAGCCCCAAATTCGACGTCAAGGAGCTAAACGAGGCATATGAACTGCACGGCGAGTTCCCGGGTATAGAGCAGAAGAACATCAGCATCGAGTGGACCGACGCAAACACGCTCACCGTCTCAGGACGCACTGAGATGGTGCGTGAAGAGGGACAACGTCCTGGCGCTGCGGCGGCTATCGAAAACAATCTGAAGGAAGAACACCATCATAAACCTACCGTCGAGGACGAGGGCGCGGCGCCTGCGACCGAGACGCCTGAGCAGGACAAGTCGGAAGTTGCTAAGAGGGCGGAGGGCGAGGGCGAGGTTACGAAGCAAGATGCAAGTGCGAGCGCGCCGCGGTATTGGGTGTCGGAGCGCTCGGTCGGCGAGTTCCATCGCAGCTTTGCGTTTCCGCAGCGCGTGGATCAGGACGCTGTGAGGGCGTCGCTCAGGAATGGGATTTTGTCTGTTGTGGTGCCGAAGGCGAGGGCACAGGAGCCGAGGAAGGTTGCTATTGAGGGGTCGTAGGGTTGCTGTGTTGAGATGAAGAAAATTTTGTACTGGTATTATAACTTTGAGGATGGCGTCGGTTGGATTGCTCTTCGGTTGTAATGTTTGATCGTCAGCTGTTGTCGCTCTTTTGCGCTTGTATATCATGTATTCTTCTGTATATCAAAGGAGATGAAGCGAGGGGGACCAGACTGTTCAAGATAAAAGTCCAACTACGTCCATATCAGCCAATGAACTTAATCTGAACCCAAAACTTGCTTTCATGAATGTTCCAGTGAGTTGCAAGATGTGATGTTCCACCTTCGGTGAGGAACATGTTATCTTGGCCTTGGCCACAGGCAAAGCTTGCAATGTGCACGCCATATATCCCATTTCGCAAGGAGTGAACATTCCGTCATATTTCGAAGCCGGGTCTATCTGATATCAATCCTCATATGTAAATTCAGAATACCACCAAGCGTTATCGTCAGAACCTTTTCTTCGTGCCTGCCACCCGCTAGACTACGCTAGTCCATTTACCGAGCGTTCTCGATCTTCATGACGAGAATGTCCTCTGCGCCAACAGCGGTCAACTTGTCCATGACGACCGCGACCTGTTTGCTACCGACCATGGCCTGTACGGCCACCCAGTCTTCCTCTTCTAAGCTGGTTACGGTTGGCGCGCGCTTGCCTGGGGTAATCTGCCTGGCAGCGTCCAGTTTGGCGCGGTGGATGTTGTATGTGCAAAGGACGTATTTCTGTGCAGCTGTGGGGAGTCAGTACATGTTCATGTGCCTTCAAGCATATGTCAAGACTTACTGATGACGCCATTGATACGCGCAGTAATCAGATCCACAAGCTTCAAATCCGAAGGATGCTTCGATTTGATGAGGATGGCGCTCGAGTCGACGACTGTGGAAATTGCTGTTAGACCAGCCGCGCGCATGGTCTCGCCGGATTCAACTAGATCGACAATGCCGTCTGCGACACCCAGTGCGCAAGCAGCCTCCACACTGCCGCCAACAAATTTGATGTTTGTTTTCAGCGGTGCTTTGCCATTGGCCTCTCCATTCGTAGCTTCACCAGCTTGTTCGGCTTCGAGTTTCCTAAAATATTGCTCTGCCAAATTTGTGAAGCTTGTGACAACATTACGTCCGATCAGCTCTTCCGGTCGAGTTATGGCTCCTTTCTGAGGCACTTGGACCTGGAGACTGCACTTGCCGAAACCTAGATCTAGAATCTCGACTACGCCTGTCGTAGCAGTAGATGGAGTGACGCTTTCATGCTCTGCGACTTGGTCTCGTCCAGTTATGCCCAGATCTACGCGACCTTCGCCAACGAATGTGGGTATGTCTGCCGCTGGGAGGAAGACTAGAGCGAGAGGAAGATTCTTGACGAGCGCGATGTCGAGCCGGGAGTGACGGTGGAATTGGATATCAGAACCAAGGAGAAGGTCAAGGCATGCTTGGTGAAGACGGCCCTCTGTATGCTCATGGTCAGTAATGCAAGCTCAAGCTGAAAGTGGACAGTGAACAGACGTACTCTTGGGCACTGCGAAGAGCAGTCGATCGTTCAAACTATTTCCCAAAACATCAGTCAAGAAGGGTAGACTTCGACTTCCGCTGCGAGCTTTTTGAACACCGCTGACACCGTTTACACCGTTGACGCCATTGACGCCTTCGATTGAGCCCATGGTTTCCTGAGTGGTACAGATGCAGAGGCGACCGAAAGGAGGGGGAAACGGCCGGGTACCTACGAGTTGACTAGATCCATCCTTCAGAAGCCAGCAGCCAGCACGCAATCCCGTCTGGGGTGCGTCGCCAGGCGCGGGTCTAGGTTTTCGCACACCCCACGCCCACTCGTTACCACCTGGGCGGGCAAGGTTGTTCAATTGGTCTAGAGGACTACGATGGTGGTATCGGATATGCGCGCTTCTGCAAGCGTATGTAGGATGGGTCAAGATATGTGTCGTTGAGTGGTGTAAACAACTAAGGTGCTGCGGTGGATACTATTGAAGTCGCTATTTGGCTGAGTCAAGGAGGGGGTGCGGGTTGCACGTGTGTGAGTCAATGGCGAAGGGTGCGGTCTATTATCGGATGGCAGCTTAGGTCTCACTCGCGCGGCGGGTCGTCCCAGACGGCAGCAGGCACAGGAACACGTCGGATACAGAGCTATGTGTTGCATACTGCGCGCCCAGGGCTCCGATATGCGGAACGCGAATTTTACGCCGCCCGTCGATTGGCTTGAGACGATGACGGAGCGGGAATGTGTGGCGTTGAGGCTGGTGATGCTTTGCAGCCAATGAACGCTCTGACGCCACTTGCATGGCCGAAAAGGGCATGGTCTGGGGCGGTGAGCGCCGGCACGAAATGCTAAGCGAGGGTGAAGCCAACACCGAAATTCGACATCTGTGAATCGTCCCCAGTCCACCGGCCTATCGACGTCCTACACCCCCGCAATACGACAATCGTCGCCCGAGAACCCCTCATCGTCATCTAAACTCAACCACACGTCAGTTCTGGAGTCTAGCATCGCGAGGGAGTCCTAACGCAGACAGGTCACAGCCATGGATTCCGCAAAAGCGCCCGTCAAGCTGGTCAAGGTCACTCGCGTACGTACATTCCCAAACCCCTTGGGAAATCCCTCTCTGACTCTTTTTACAGGTTCTCGGACGTACCGGTATGTAGCCCCGCCCATCAGTCGAACACGCACGACGACGAATCGAGATCCCACCGAACGACATCTGACCAGCGCAGGCTCGCGAGGAGGTGTCACCCAGGTCCGCGTCGAGTTCATGGACGACACCACCCGAAGCATCATCCGAAACGTCAAGGGCCCAGGTACGGCTTGGAAATACCCAGAGACTTTTGCGCACACAATCTGACTCTGGACAGTCCGCGAGAACGACATCCTCTGCTTGCTCGAGTCTGAGCGTGAGGCTAGGAGGCTGCGATAGAGAATGGAAGCGCTGGTGCCGGTGCGATGGACATGGAGACGATATCGAGAAGGAAATGGGATATGGCGCCTCCTCAGCATGTGCATTACGGGTACTTCATTACGGGCAGAGGCGTAGTATTCAACACTTCTGATTCCTCCTAAGCAAGACTCTGTCTGGCTTCCGACCAAATCCTCAATTCTTCTTCCAAGGCGTGTCCTAATCTCAAGCTTGAGGCAGCGTCAGGGTTGCGAAGAGCCCCGAGATGACTGGCTGAGAATCTAGGCAGCGATGCCCGAAGGGTCATTCTTCCATGCCAAATCAAAACCTCTGTCAAGACTCTGCCTCTGGTTGCACGGTCCGGTTCCTTACCCTTGTTGCGCCGACCCTCTTAAACTACTGGAATAACAGCATTCGAGTGCCCAGCGCAAACTTACATTCTTTCTTGACCCATTCATTCTTGCGTTTGGTGAATCAAATATAACAAAAGCTTCGCCGCTCTTTTTGCTAATCCTTCGACCAAAGTTAAATTAATCCCATTGCCCAAGGTTTCTTTGCGTTGCGCATAGCATCCTCGTGGAATGTCCATCAGCTATGACATCAGCTTCACAAAGGCGAAGAAATAATAAACCCAGGGAGGGATCATGTTCAAAGGAGTTCCTCTCAGCGCATAATGTACTTCTTTTCTCTTCAATATTCGTTTAATGGAAATAGTTCTCATGAACACATTTTCTTATGAACATGAACTACGTTATCGGAGTTTACCATACAAACCAAAAAAAGGCAAGGAGTTACGTGCTGAGTAAGTAGGATTGAGAATTAAAAAAAAAAAAAAAGAGAAAAACAAAATGCGACAACGACAGGATTCGAACCTGTGCGACCGAAGTCATATGATATCTATTGGGAGCCAATGGCAACGTTCGAGTCATACCCATTAACCACTCTGGCACGTTGTCTTTATGCATTTAAACAATTTTTGTGGCATTAAAATATATATAGTAGACACATAATGCGAAAAACTGAGAGGCAAAGTGCAGTATCTAGCACCTGCCTTCTTCCAATATGACTCAACCCCGCTCCTGACCAATTGTGGGGTTTCTTAGCGAGGCCAGGCGGCGGGGCGAATGAGCGCGAGCGATCTCCTAAGCCGCCACTTCGAGAACATGAGGGGATCCGTTGGATTTCTATCCTGCAACACGGGTCTCCTCGATAAAAAAATTCAAAATTCGATTACTAGAACATGTCGATTGGAGTGATGCCGCCCGAATTTCACCCAAGGACTACTCTGCCCCTTTGGTCCGCTCGCAGACAACTGAACATCATAACGAGGTTCAAGAGTAGTATTAATGAACCTAGGAATGGCCATCAAACTAGACTGATCCGTTCATCCTCAGCGCCCAACATCCCATACTTGCCCCAGCACGACAGCTTCAGCTGTGTTGTATATGATGACATCGCCATCACCATCGAACCAAGCATCGCACCCCCTCACATCTATCAGATCCACCCACTCGTCGTTCTCGATCGCCAGCGCCCCCGGAATTCTCCTCGTCAAGGTCTGCGAGCAGTGCCCATCAAACCCAATACCCGTCTCCGTCTCCGTCTCTACATCCTGCGCAACGCCCTGCGTCATATTCACCTCTCCGTCCGCACCAACGCGATACTTTCCCCGCGCAACGTTCGCACCTGGTCTGTGCACCTGCCACGCCGTGCACGCAGCGGGATCGAGCGTGAAGGCCCAGATGGTGAGCTCAGGGTCGGTATACACAGCCAGATCGCACACTCCGCCCAGCCTCCCAATCTCGATGCCCTTCAGCACAACCGGCCAGACGGGGCAAAAAAGCACGTCTTCGTCAGGCACCTTGGGCGGATCTGCCAGCCAGTTCAACCAGTGATCGGGCTTGCGGCGCTCAATCTGGAACAGAGGCGCTGTGTAGACGGAATGGCTTTCTGCATTTTGCTCGAGGTACGAGAGCGCGAGGACGTCGGCTGGGACGCTGTAGAGCATGATGACGTCGTCGAAGGCGACGACGACGCGAGCGCCCCAGCTCAGATCCCTGGCTGCCGTGTACAGACGCGGTGTTGCGCCTGCGGATGGGGGGACGAATTGGATCTTGCGCGTGAGCTTGGTAGGTCCGCCGAGGGGCGCATCGCAGCCGAGGAATAGGTTACCGGAAGGCGGATCGAGGAATAGTATGTGATGGCCGTCACTAACGGGGACTGCGTGGTAGTGGTCGCAGCTGGTGGTGCCGAAGCGGCTTTCCGTGCTTCCAAATCCGAGAGTAGATAAGAGGTGTCCGAAGGTGGGACGGCTGGGGAAGAACTTGCGACAGATTGAAGGACGGTCATCGGGATGCGCCGCACTTGATATCCTATTGGGACACAAAGTCAGCCTGATGTGTCCGGCGACCTTCCACGCTCTACTTACAGGCGAAGTTTCGTGGCTGATTCGATTCCTTGCCGAGGGGGTAGGAAGAAGATGTAGTCTGATGGAGCAGTAAGGGGGAACCAGCGAGATAGCGATTGACCTGTCAAGGCATCTATCCAATGGAGCTCGATGCCAGAAGAGCAGCCAAATGCTACGCAGCGGCGCTGTGGACAGATAGCTACGCACCGAGGAGGGTCGTCTTCAGAGCAAAGATGGCGGTAAAAGGTTGCTGTGCCTGTTTCGATGGGAATGCCGCGTTTGCGAATCGAGGCCGCTTTGTTTTGCAGGTGCAGATTCCAGCACTGATTGACCCAGTTGCGGCTTCGTGTATGCGCCTGGTCGATGTCGTCAAGTTGAATGTGGCCGGAATCTGACTGCACGTCAATAGAATTAAAAACGATGTTCTCCTGATGGTCAGAAAACGAGGGCTCGACCTCTTGCTCAGGTACTTCGATAAGGCTCTCTGTGCTCTCATCTTGACCGCAACGGAGCTCGCACAACATTCCCAACCTGCCTTCCAGCAGCGCGGCGACGGCGTTTCTGCCCGATGTAACATCCATGCTCAGAGCAAGAACTCTTCGAGGGCAACCAACACTCGTGAGGGGCTGTATCGTACTGCCGTGGAGGCTGTATATGTAGATCAATGTTTCTTTTGCGACTACCAGCAACTGCCCACAGACGCTGGTTGTGAATACGAGCCCGGCACTCGGATGCCTCTCTGGACCCGTGTAGCCGTTGGTGAAGTCGGTAAAGTCAATCGAAGCGACTACGGCCGTAGTTTCACTTTCGTGAGCCGAAAGGCCATTGCCGGTCCATCCAGAAGCCAAAGAGCATTCTCTAGACAGGCGTCGACTAAGTAGCCATTCGTCACTTGTCTCGGCTCGCGCTCGACGACCAGGTGGTATTTGATCCATGCTGCCGAGTTCATCTTCTGCGCTAATCCACCAGCCGCCTCTTTTCAGTGCTGCTACGAGAATCTTCTTATCCAGGCTGGCTCGCATCCAATCTCGACAGGTATGTCGGGCGGCATTGAAGTCCTTCGGACCCAAGAGACGGTAAATATCCTGCAATATTTCGGTCGGTAGGCTCCGAGGTTGGGGTAGTGGAGCTGATGCAACAGCATTGATGGTCTCATGCTATGAGCGGCAGGTCAATCGCATGGCCTTCCATGCCGACGCGTCTAGGTAAGAGAGAACTAGTGGTAGGATAGCCAGGGATAGATGTAGGGTTCGAGAGGCTGCATGATTGCTGTTCAAATCATCCTCATCCCGGTCAGAGGGGGTACTAATGCCCAGCAACACATCTGATACGGTGCGGGTGATGCCGGTCTCATTTTGTGGCTCCATGATTGCATCCTCCAGAAAGCTAGCACTTTCGCCCGAGAAAGATGCAGACTGTACCCGATGCAGCGAAGTTGACTCGCTGACCGTCTCTGTTAAGCTTGGCAGCCTCGATATCGAGTGACTGAAGGATCCAGAACGCAGCGAAGCAAGAGAGGGACTGCTGAAGAGAAACGCCCCGGGTCCCACGAACTCCAGGCTCGGCAACGATTGATTAGCGGAATTCGTTCTTGTATGTCTACTGGAAGCGTTTCTTGGATTGCTTCTGCGGGACTGTGGTCAGTTAGTGGAGTGAAACACCTAGACGGAAACACTGACTTCTAGCTGTTGAGGCCGTCTTGATGGGTAGGGGTCTGGGATTGCGTCGCGGCGAGACTGCCTAGGAAAGATGTGACGAAGAACATCCGAGAATCTCCGATGCGTATCGCCCACCACACTCTCTTGCTCGTCCCCTACCGTATGCTTCTCGAGGTGTACTGCGGGATCCGAAGAGTGAAACATACGGGTATGATGGTGAGACGTAGGGCTTACCCCCCGAGAGAGGTAAATTTGTGAAGACGTATTTGAGGCACCTCCGGTCGCTGGAGGAGGCTGAAGTTTGGGTACGAATTTGACGAAGCCAGAGAATATAATGATGAAGCAATAGGTAGCGATTTCGGGAATTAGGTGAAAGACTGTTGAAAGGCAACGAACTACTGGCCGTGGTGAGACCCGTCTGTAATGGAACCAAGCGAGCGGGTGGAATGGAAGCAAAAACAATCAATTCAGCAACGGGGTATAGTGCAGATGAAAAGAGGAAGGAGAGCTACATACAGTAAGGAAAGAGGTTTGTACAGGATAGCTAGCCGGCAGGAGCCGGCAGGCACAAGAAAGTAATACGAGAATACGACTACGTCTATGCAAAATCGGCCCAAATCCTCCATTTGAGCAATGTCACCAACAAGGTCAGTGTGAGTGCTATGGGAAGGAGGCTGCGTTGTTTAAACATCCTCCTCCCCATTTGCACTGGCCGCTGAAGACCCATCCACTCGCGCGCTCTTGTTCACAATCCAAACGTCATCGAGACTGCCACCGTATGTCAGCCAAACTAGGCACTTCATAGAAGGGGCGGTGGAACTTACGGCATGATCAAACTTGGATTTTCAAAACGTAGACCACGTTCTCGAGCCTCGTCCAATGTCTGCATTTGTCCTTCTTGAGCCCAGGCTTCACGTTCTGGCGCAAATGCTTCCTCCTGAATATCTCGGCCAAGGTCAGAGTGCTCGGCGCGGCGCAGACTGCGCAGAGCAATAAACTTCATCAAAGGCCGGTATGTGCGACTGTACTCATAGGCGAACCATAGAGTGGCGAAAATGATTGGAATGATCAAGATGGTGCGCTTGAAAGCTTTCAGCGCAGCCATATGGCCAGCCACGGTGATCTGGAACAAAACGAGACCAACGATCACGCGGTCGCACATCATCATCCAACCTCTGCCCGTGGAGTGCTGCCGATGCTCCATTGCGTAGAGAAGTTGATACTTGTGGACAAAATGGCCGATGGCAAAGTATATGAGGCCAACAAGCAACACTTCCCAAGATCGCGGGAGCACGCTGTACACCACGCAGATGATGAAGATGAGGATTGTCTGTGGTAAGAAAAACCCGTAGCTGAAGACTGGAGGTTGGACGAGCTCCGCATAATCTGTTGAACAGTCAGTAATGACGCACAGAGTATTTGCCATGCGACGTTTACCTCGAGGCGTTTTCGCTCCGATGAGATTGATCGGGTACAGGGTCAAGGCTCCAAACTCCAGCAGACGCAGCGGGAAGAGCCCGAGACCTTGTAGGATGATGAAGTTGACATAGAAATTGATCAGACCGGTCAAGGAATCCGCAATGGCCTGGGCGATTTTGGAAGCACTCTGCTGGAACTGCTCACCCCAGCGTTCCAAAAGGCTGACAAAGCCAGAAGCCGTTCCTAAAACGGTGAATACGATGAAGAAGTTGAAGAAGGTGAAGAAAAAGTTCTTCGAAATGACAGAGAGTTCAACATCGCCCTGTGAAATCATGCCTTGCATATTTGCTAGCCCTGTGTGGTTGTTAACACTGCACATGGCAGATAAAGAGAGGGAGCTCACAGTCGTAGAGGTAAGGCACCGCAACATTGAGTAGCGTAACGGCCAGAGTTGGTAGCTGAGTGTTGACGA